TGTGTGTGTGTGTGTGTGTGTGTGTGTTGGGTGGGGGAGGACAGCAACTTCATGAAGCCTAAATGAACATATGTCACTGACGGAGGGGGGAGGCTTATGTAGACTATTAATAGCTCAATTAAGAGGTGTCAGGTGCCTAGGGCAGGATCAAAAGGGTGCATAAAGTGTATAGTTGGGTTTCTGCTGCCTTAAATCAAGTGGCCATTTTAATATAATACACTATAAAAGGCTTAGTCTGTCTGTCCATGCGTGTGTCTGTAAAACTTCGGGCCAACCACGCATGTGCCGCCGAGAGGGCAGGCAGTGATTGACTGTGCAGCCCGGGCCCAAGTTTGTGCCACTGCTGGGAAAGTTTGGTGGTGGTGAACACGGCCTGGCTGCCCTGCCCCCTAGCCTGAGGGTGAAGGTCCTCCCTCTTGGCTCTCAACACAAGTCTTACTGCAGGCTATAGGTCCACATCCATGGGACACGGCATTCCTCTTTTCCCAGCGGCTCAGCCTGCAATAAGGGAAACTGAGGCCCTGTGCCACTTGCTCGCAGCTCGGGACATCGTGTATAACAACATCCTTTGTGAAGAAGTGCACCTGGGAAGGCCCCGTCCTTGTTCTCCTGGCGGCGTGGCAGGACCTCAGCTGAACTCTGCCCAGCCTGGGCTGTGGGCACAAAGGCTGCTCCTGACCATGTTTTTCCACCTTGCTGCCCAGCTCCTTGCTCGGGCTCAGACACATTTATGTTTGCAAACAGGCAGGGGCCACGTGCCAGGGCTGCGTTGTGTGCACATGGGACCCAAGCCACGCTGCCCAGGCTGGGTCCAAGGGCTACCGCTAGCTCCCCGACAACGAGCCTGCAGACATATTGCTTTCTTCCTGAGCCAGGCAGACATGGAAATAGATGTGGTTTGCTTCCTTCTTGGCTTCCAGCACCACCTGCCGGCAGAAAACACTGCAACCTTTGTGGCCCTGCCTTCCCGTGGTGTCTCCGGCATTAAGCGATGTGACCCTGGGTTTTGTTTCTCTGTCTGTGCAGGGAGAGAGGGGGCATGTGCTGAGTGAGGGTATGTAGGCCCCTGCTGCCCCACTGCGCAGGTGTTGGCAAAGGCTGGGATGATCCTTAACTCCTCTGTGAAGTTGCCCCTCTCCTTCCCAAATCCCACATGTATTATTGAGGCTTTATTGGGCACCAGTGCAGAGAAGTCTCTTCTTCCAGAGGAAGAGTAGTGAGCATAGGGGAAGGACATATAGGAGCCCTGGCTTGGGAAGAGGAGGGAATGGGGACACACAGCCCCCCCACATAGGGAAAGAGGGGCAATGGCAGGCGTATAGGGCCCCTGGCATGGGCAGGGGAGAAACAAGGCCCCTGACATGGGTAGAGGGTGAACTGAGGGCACTCAGAGTCCCTGAGAAGGAAACAGGAGGGGTTGGGAGACAATAAGAGCTTGCGACAAGGGGGAAGAGGATGGTCAGGAGTGCCCGAGAGAGAAGGAGAGGGTAGGACACGTCCCATGGAGCGTGTAGGGGTACAAAGGGGTGCAACGGGTGCTACAAGCAGCAGCAAAGCATGTGTGACTGCCTTCTTATTATCTGAAGAAAGCTCCCATTCCAGATCTATTACCTACAATCACTAAGGGGAGAACAATTTTGACAGATAAAGGCCTGCTACTGCATACGGAGGCAAAGCCAACAGGTGCCTTTCCAAAAGGGACGGGCAGAACCAGAGCTAGGATCCTGCTTTGGATCAACCCTGTGTTGCAGCATGTGGTGGAGATAGCTAGACAACAGCCCAGCTTCAACATCCAGTATTGCAAGACTTCAACTGTGGCACTTAGCAGCCTGGGTCTTTGTAGGCCACGGCTTGCTTCTACAAGTTGTGGCTATCAAAATCTTAAAGATAAATGACACTACCCAAAGATGTAGTTCAGTTTATGGGCTCCCAACCACACGTTGCAGAATGAAGCAGGTGTTTTCTTTTGGGCCAGGGTGGGTAAACCCCACTATACACAACATATGTGATGACAGCAAGATATAGGGGTTCACCCTCATCCCTTTTCAAGACCCTGGAGCCTTGCTCAGCTAACAAAGAGACAAGAGTCCTTTATTCCTCACAGTGGGAGGGGTCCAATAGAGACTCCTATGGGACATGCATGTCATTGGCATATTTTTACTAAGCATTTATACCGTCCAAGCGTGCTGTGAAGATTTACCATCTCCTCTGGGTGCTCGGCAAGCACGTACAACTGCCTGGTCGGCAGGGGTCAAGTGCATTGGGAGCATGGACAGAGGGAAACTGCTGGGAGAATCATCCCCAAAGGGTTTGTCTTGTGCCGTTCCCTTCCTGAATCTCTCAGGGCTGTTTAGTAAAACAGTTGACTACAACTGCCACGAGTCTTTGCTTCTGCATAAATGCCTTCTTTTCCAGGAAGGTTACTCAGACTCCAGAGGGACGCTGCAAGAACTGAGAAGTATTCCTGCTTTCCAACGAACAAGCAATGAAAAGCCTTTGATTAGCCAGCACGGCATGGTGCATCATGTATCGCGTCACAGAGGGAACCAGCATAACCAAAATGCAGGTCTCGGAAGGAGGTGAAAGGAAATGGTGCATAAAACGTTGCCGGTCGAGTGCTCACTCTGGGTTCTCGTAGTTGGTGAAAGTCTGGAGCAGCCCACAGAGATCTTTGAAGGTCGGCCGCTGCTCTGGGAGGAGGTGCCAGCACTTGCGCATGATGCCATAGAGGGTCGGTGGGCATTTCGGTGGGCAGGGCATCTGGAAACCGGCTTGGACTCTTTGGCAAACCTCACTGTTTTGCATACCTATGAACAGAGAAGGAAGAGACAGCTGGAGGAACATTTGCTCCCATCCGAGCTCAGTCCTGCTTTGAGTTACATGGCACTCGGGGTGTCAAATGGGATTCATACACGTTAGGGCTGGAAGGGACCTTGAAGATCATCAAGTCCAGCCCCCTGCCCAAGGGGCAGGAAGTCAGCTAGGGTCAAAGGATCCCAGCAAGATAAGCATCCAAACGTTGCTATAATTTAGGACAGAACGAGAACATTGACCGTTAGTCTTGCTTGCTATTTAATGCAACAGGAAGTGCAGCACCTCTTGCCCACAACATGCTGGTTTCCTCTCAGCACAGACCCTGACTAACATCATTACCTGGGCCCCTACACACAACCCAAAGCAAGCTCTTTCTACCGTCATCCTTCACATTTAAACCCTGAATTGAGATTAGTGGCACAGTACCTGGGTATGGAATCTGCCCGTGGGTGACGATTTCGAACAGAAGGACCCCAAAAGACCAGACGTCGGACTTGGTGGTGTAGCGTCCCTGGGAGAAGGCTTCAGGGGCTGTCCATTTATAGGGGATATTTTTGGAATAGGACAAGTACACGTCATCCTGCAAACACAAGGCGATTGTGAGCAGGAGGAGCTGCATGCACCATGGAGGCAGAGCCCTGCTCCTTCCACAGGGCAAATCTGGGGGCAGGGGGAAGAGAGGGTACTATAGTGGGGCATTGTTCAATGCAACTGCACCAATTCATGGCCACTGGGGAGGCCAACAGATCAGGGTGGATTTTCCTCTTCGAGATCACAGCTATGGAAGGGGCATCAGGCTTGAGCCAGCGCAGGTGCATGGACCTTCCTCCTGATAAGCATTCCCATAAACCAGGAGGGAAATGCTCACATGAATAAACACTACTTTGCTGGAGAAACCTGAGGGAGCAACATGATGAATGCTCCCATCTTGTTCTCCTCATGCATGGGTTCAAATTTAGGTGCACTTTAACTTCACTCCAATGGCATCATCCCCAGGCAAAGGGCATGGACAACAGAGGTGTGCAGGGGGGGCGATGGGTCACCATCTATGGTGCTCGGTCATCAAACAGCCGAAGGTCATGGAGCCCATTAATCACAATTCCTCTCTACCCCCTCCAAACCAAACCCTCTGCAGCCTTGAGTTGATTTACGGTACCTTGATAAGCCTGGCCAGTCCAAAATCACCCACTTTGCAGGTGTTGTTCTCTCCAACAAGGATGTTTCTGGCAGCCAGGTCTCGGTGAACGAAATTTTGGGACTCCAGGTAGCACATCCCCTCTGCCACCTGGGACGCCATGTCAACCAGCTCGAGCATCTGCAGGTCCTCCCCTTCCGACTCTGGTGACAAAGGGACAAGAGAGCCAACAAGAAGTACATGTGAGATGTTGCAAAGGGAGCGTGTAAGTGTGAACAGAAGTCTGCAGAGACACACTTTCCGTGACATGCTACCTTGTGGAGCTGACATTTTTCTAGCTTGTAAATTGAGACACAATTTCCGGCGCTGAGCCAAAACTGCCCTGCAAAGTATTAGTTCCAGTTTTCCAATCAATACTCATTTACATTTTTTCCTCTCCTGTCTGCATAGATGGAAGCAAAGCTCTGGGCCATCAAAGCAGCCTCAGCCTTGGCTTCTGTCCTAGCACAAGTCAGCTTCATATTGCAGCTCTTTGGAGGATGGAAATTGAAATTCAGTGGGTCATTCCCACCCCTGCTGTAACTCCAGTGAAGCCGAGGGAGATACTCTGTGGATAAAAGTATGTCTCTAATTTTATTCCAGTAATGAAGGAGCCCATGTCAAAGCCCTGGCAAGATGCTTGGGGGCCTCCCTGATCAGACAAGTTCATTTGAACCCCTTCCTCCACCCTCTGCAGTTCAAAGTCTCTTGGCAGCCCCCCAGCTTTACTTCAAACACCTTTACCTCGAAGAAACTCCAGCAGGTTTCCCTTGGGCATGAGCTCAGTGATGATGTATACTGGGTCCCCGACCGAGGAGATGGCGTAGAGTGAGAGGATGTGCTTATGTCGCAGCTTCTTCATGGCCTCGAACTCGTTCTTGAATGTACGCTGGTAGGTCAGGTCCGCTGAGAAGGACCCATGCCAGGAGGAGAGAACAGGGGGGCATGAGTTGTCTGAATGGAGATCTGTATACCGAATGACATCTTTGGTGCCCAAGGCACCAACCTAGTGGTGCCAGCATGGAGCCTCCCAGCCCCCTGCATTTGCAGGAAACCATCGACCCAAAGATCCCCCCTCAGAATCACCACTTTGAACCTTCATGTACAGGTACAAGGCCCCAAACTAGAAATACCCTACCACAAGAGTAGGGAGGCAGAGAAGTGATTGCTTCATAGATACTTGGAGAACCCAAGGTCCAAGACCATGCCCCACCATGCAGTGCAAAGCCAAACCCCCAGTCTTTGCCAGTCTTCAGTAGGGGAGGACATTCCTGACACCCCCAAATTCCTGTATGACCGTAGGAGGGTAGAGACTCAGTTTGCTTGGCAGTCTCAGCTACTCAGAAAGGGAGAGAAACAAATAGCAGAGGGAGGATAATTGACTGCTCTGTGTTACCCTTCTAAAGGGGAGCGATTCCAGCCCATGCTCTTTCCCTCTCACCTTTGGGGATCACTTTAATTGCAACCTTGACCTTGTTTTTCCAGTACCCCTCATAGACTTCTCCAAAGTACCCAGCTCCCAGCTTCTTGGACAGACTAAACTCTTCTTTGGGTCTTTCCCAGTCGTCCCAGTGAGGGAGAGGTTCGTGCTGTTGCTAGATCAAAGAGAGAACAACTTTATAGGATTTCAGCCTGAGAAAGTGGGATGGGGAAACAACCACTGTGATTTCCGTGCCCATTCTACAACCACAGAGCCAAGTTCCAGGATACATATTTTCCACCATGTCCTTCCTATGAAGGCACTCAAATCTTGCCGTGATCTGAGTATACCTCCTATTAATGAAGTGGTGTATGATGTATGTGGCCACTAGGTACTTAGACCACAGACACTTCCCTTAACTGCAAACTACTGCTTTCTTTTTTATACACCCCTGCAAAGTGAAGGGGTCTTGTCTGCAAGCAGCCAGTTTGGCCAAGTAAAAGTTGCATCCACCCTTCCAAAACAAAAGAGAATTAATTTCTTAAAGATCAGAATTCCTCTCCATCCAAATGTCCGGCTTAATGAAATGGGCATCGTTAGAAATGGTAAGATTGGTGACCACATCTTCACTCTCTGCAAACTTCACTCCACATCCGCACCCTTTGCCCATCCCGTATACTATTGCAATGCCTACATCTTCAGTTCTTGCCATCCTGTTGCCTCTGATCTCTCCCTTCACTTGTGTTTATGCACTAATTGGCTGCATACACTCTCCTATAACACCCCTGATTGCAAGAGGCTTACACCAGGGATTCATTTAGTTCTGCGTTTGATTTCTGAAGGTGAGGATTAAGCAGGATGGGGACTACATAACACAGTGCACATACACGAGTGCTGAAAAAACTGGTGTAATACATAAAGAGTCGCTAGATGGTAGTGTTGGCTCTGTAACCAGTCTTCATTGCTGTCCCGGATGATTTACTTAATGCACTGATGGGTGCACTGATCCTTTCAAGGGTGCTGCGGGGTGCCGCACAGTGTTAGCACTGTTGGGCGTGCAAACAGGATTCACAAGATAAACCCAGACATTTCAAACAGGCATTGATAGTATTAAAGCCATTTGGACCGGTTGAGATCTTTATATTCTTTGGAACAGAAGAATTGCTCTCATTTTCTACAGCCAAAAAACAAGTGAAAACTAAAAACTTCTATTTTCTAAGGGGGAAGGGGGGCCTTGAGTCTATCAAGGTTGAGAATCAGTGATTTAATGGAAAAAGTTGGAGGAAGATGACCAATCATTTTGGGTGGGATGCAAAAAAAACCCAAACCCAACCAGCCCAATGATGTCATGCTATAGCAAAGGGAAACAGGGACCACTGGACTTCCCTCCCACCCTTTTCTTCTGAGCTGCCCACAATGAAGCACCTGCTCTTTTTGTGCGCTTTGCAAAGGGGTGACAGATGCAGTAGTAACTGTGCAAGTTTTAGACCACTTCAGATCTGGTTGTTAAACAGCAGGCGGGTCTTAACCTTATAATTAAATCCCTGTGGTAGCAAATGTAATTATGGCGCTCAGAGCTAGGCAAGACCATGGGGTCATGGTACCCATTTCCCAGCGAACGTGAGCCTGTTTCCGACTCTCAGTCTCGCAGTGTTTCCAAGGCATGGAGACCATTGAACATCAAGCTAATTTAGGTGATGGGAGCTGAGAGTGCTCACACATCTGAAAATGAGGCCCTATGGTTTCTTACATGAGATCCCTGGAAAAAATCATTTTTTCTAAATGTGTATTCCTGAACTCCCTTCGTATCTACAAACTGTCACTACAGATAAGCAACTGTCAGAAAACGTGGAAAATAAATGGTGAACATTTGCTTTATTTCCTTTTGCATGTCTCTTCTTAAATGGCAAAACATTTGCAAGGAAAAAAAATCAGATTTTCAGATTGGGAAAATTCCCCCCACCCTTGATCCAAAATAGGAGCAGGATATTAGCTCAGCATCGGATCTGAAACAGGTGCAGAATATTAGCTCTGTAAGAAACATCAGAATAGATTTCCAAGGGGTCCCCCCTTGTTGGGGTTATTTCTTCATGGGACAAGGATGCTCACTGATAACTGAGCAGAGGTAAGGTGAGATATTTTTGCAAAGGTATTTGATTTTAATGGGAATTCACAACTTGCTTGAATGCTTTCAGAAATCCCATTAGGCACCCATCTGCATTTTTAGGCAAGCAAGTACATTTGTACAGTTGGTCCCTCATGCTAACATGGCATCTGTCGGGTGAGGATATCACAATAGTCATCACCAGAGCGCCCCAGGGGATGACGAGGTCGAATGGTTATAAACTACTGCAAGACCGCTTCAGGCTGGACATAAGGAAGAATTTGTTTACTGTCCAAGCCCCCAAGGTCTGGAGCAGCCTGCCATCGGAGGTGGTTCAGGCACCTACATTGAACACCTTCAAGAGCAAACTGGATGCTTATCTTGCTGGGATCCTATGACCCCAGCTGACTTGCTGCCCTTTGGGCGGGGGGCTGGACTCGATGATCTTCCGAGGTCCCTTCCAGCCTTAATGTCTATGAAATCTATGAAATCTATAGTGGGCATTAGTCTTTTAACCACAAATAGAGGTTTAATGATGTGCATAAAACATTTGGATGTATGATGCCTCATGCTAACATGGCATCTACAGGGTGAGGACATCACAATAGTGGGCATGAGTCTTTTTACCACTAATAGAGGTTTAATGGTGTGCATAAAGCTAACCCCAGTCCTCTGCTATCAACCCCCTGGTCTTGTCCATCAGGACTAATCCTAGAAGGACCATCTGTGTGATTTTCTTTGTAAGAACAGACCACAAGATTTGCCCTGAACATGCCCGTGTTGGGCGCACCACCTCCCTGCGCTGCGATCCCAGTCTACATCAGCCTTGTTCTCATTTTTACCACAAGCAGCATCCCTGGAGCCACCCACCGGGTCCCAGCACAGGCTTTACCTTCCAGCAGGGGATGGTCAGCTTGAGGCCGTGGGAGAGGCTCTTTGCCTTGTAGCACTCCACGAGGCTGGGCAGATCCGGGAATGACTGTGTTTTGTTCATGTAAAACTTCCCTTGGGCGCTCCGCCAGATCTTGTAGTGTCTCACCACGGAGTCATCCCGGACTGTGAAACCAGGGAGAGGCAGGATGAGCACTCGGTACAAAGCAGTCATTCAAGGCAAGGATGCCTCCCAGTCGCAGCAACCGACAGCAAGCCGCGGGGAACCAGCGGCTCCTCACGCACCTATCACTTGCGACAGCATCTTCCCTGCGGCCGGGGATTGGGCTGAACAGAGTCTGCCCACCTCTCGCGCTCTTCGGTGTGAGACATGATGATCACCAGCTGAGAAAACGCCATCTGTTCAGAGAGGCTGAGCAACAGGATGCTCTTACGGATTCCAGCTGGGGTTGTGGGCACTTGCAACGGGGCCCTATTCCAGCCCCCGTTGCAAGGAAGAAGGGGAAAGTCCCTTGAAGAAGCATGAAACGGAGGGGTTGGCCCTGACCTTGGAGGATATAGGAGAAAGGCTTGAGCAGTAAGAGGGCGGACTGCGGCAACAGCGGAGGAGAACAGAGCTCCTGCCAGAAAAGCTTGAAGAAATGAGCACGCACCAACTGCAGATGCTTCATCAGCCTGACAAAGGGTATTTGTACCCGAAAGCGTGCAAAGAAGAGTTGTTCCAACTATTTGAGTTATTCTAATAAAAGATGTCAGATTTACCCAAAGAGCCTTGTCTGCCTAAGTCCTTGCATTTTTAGTGGCAGCTCCAGTGGACCTAAAGTTTAAATACTAGATCTCAGCCGAAAGTCAACTCAATGCATCTGCCAGGGGTTGAGGGACCAGAATAAGCCTGAGATTTCTGGTTCTCGCTGTCTTATACATGGGAAAGAGCTGTACGGGCTCTCATTGCCAACATAATCAGATTGGAGACCAAACCTCTGTACACCCTGGAGTAACAGCGAAGAACCATCAACAAGGAAGAAGCGTATTTATTTGCTTTGGGCAGTTGAAAATGTTTTGTTGATGTGGTTTTGCTGTTTCTCTGGTGTAACTGCAGAGTTGGGATTTTTATTACCGGGGATAAATGCCTTGTATGTAGCTAGCAGGGGGAAACCATCAAACAAAACAACCCCTTCCCCTGCCACCCCCTAAAACCTCTTTACATTTTGCAAAACATGACAGAGCCTGAATGAAAAGGCTTGATCAGAAAGGGGTAGGTTTTCCAAAGGGTCATTTCAAGGCAGTGTCTTCTCCAGCACAGAGAAGGGGATCAGAGTGAAATCCCAGGTGCAGAGAGAGAAGCCAAAAGGCTGGTATCGAACCACAGAGCGGGGGCAGAAGGCAAACCCAGTCCCTTTACCTGAGAGCACGTATTCAGCTCCTTTCTTCTCGCTGATACGGATCAGAAAGGCCCCAGTCGGGTTCCTGTCCACCAGCACCTGGTGCAAACTCTCCGAGCGTGAGATCTTCCCAAAAAACCATCTGGAGGAAGAGACCAGAGTATGGTATGACTCCCTCTGGGTGGTTAGCGTATGGGACTGCACTGCAGAGCTAGCAACCCAAAGCCGGCTAGGGTTTTGCTTTGCCCCGATTACAGATTTCCAACTTCAGAAGATGACAGGACTCTGACCCCCGGATTCAGAAACACGGAGACCAGCTCCCTTGCATTTAGGGAGCATCCAGATCCCAGTTCCCTGAACTTTCCCTCATGCCTTTGCCTTGAGCCTTGGCACCAGCATGGCTGCAAGCGTGCATCCTCCTGTTGGCTAATCACATTGCCTAGGACCCACTCATTCATTCAGATTCCCCTTTTTCCTAGCTCATACCGCCCCGCCAACCTTTGCAGATGAGGTAGAGAATAACAGAGCATCAGCTGGCCAGTGCCAGTCTCCAGCAGGAAGTTAAATTCACACCCAGTTACCTGGCTCTGTAATCTCTCTGAGATTTATGGCCAGAGAGTAAGGGTTGAATTCACTTGAACTCTTCACCTGCCGGGAATGCAAAATCGCCAACATTGAGCTCCACAGTTTCATAGTTTGTAGGGTCGGAAGGGACCTGAGCAGATCATCCCAGCTAACAGCCCTGGGCTCGTGCCCAGCTACATGGGGTGTCTGCAGTGACACGTGCATGCATGAATTTGGCTCTGAAAGACCTTGCTAGAGGTCTTCCCTTGTATGCAGCAATAAGGGAGCCGGGGAAAACAATCAAACTAAAAAAAAAAAAACAGCCCATTTTGGAAGCTGGCCTTGCCCTCCGTGGCTGTGGTTGCGACATGTTAGGCCGGGCTGGACAGCAGCTCCGGGGACTCGATATCCCAAATAAAGGACTTTCATAGCCTGTTGGACCCAAACCTCTCTCTCCAAGCATGCTCCCATCAACATCAAACTGCTTCCCCAGACCCACCAGAGCTAGGCGGAGATGTGATTCACTCCTCTCATTCCCCTCGGGCTTCCCGAATGAAAGAGGTGGCGATCCCAGCAGGGTTTGACTTACGGTTCAGCCTCCATCGTCTCCTGCTTGGCTAAGTAGTTGTAAGGAACGTAACCTTCGGCCAGGCGCCTCCCAGAGCCGTCCACTCTCGTGGCCCACCACCATTCCCCTTCCTGCCCGATGACCTCGAAGAGGTCTCCCGTCTTGAAGCTGATTTCTGTCTCCGTCCTAGCATTGAAGTCCCAGAGGCTGGTGTAGATGGTGGAGCTCATGCTGGGCGGGTGGAGGAGCTGAGTGACCACCAAAGCTGGGTCTCGTGGGCATCAGAGCAAAGGAAACATGGCTGTAGCTTCCCAGGCTTGAGCTCTTGGATGAGGGTCACCAAGGCCTCCTGCTGCTGCCTTGCCCCGGTTCCTCCTACCTTGTGAAGAGGCTTTTGTAATTCTGCCAACTCATCTCAGCCAAGACAGGTCAGATGGGGCAGGTAAGGAACACACCTTGCAATCATGCACTCTGGACTTGGTCCTCCAGCTGCAATGCAGCCTGGGTCTGTGAGCCACTCCTCTTCTCGCAAACAGGAGGAAGGGAGGCAGCCCTGCACTTGTCTGCCACGTCTCGGATGACCCAGGGCCAAGGGATCAGCCCCGGGCACTGTGTGCGAGTTCCTCATGTTGCACAAGGATTCACCCGTGGGCTGCAACAGGGGTGAGGAGAAGAGAAAGGGGAGGAGGAAGTCAGAGAGGAGCCTCCCTGTTACAGAAAGGAGGGGAAACTGAGGCACAAGGAAGAGAAATGACTTGTGACTCATATTTTCCAGCAAGTGAGCAGTATCAGGGGCCTGCATCCAGGCTCCACTCGCTCCCCCAGGCTTTTGCTCTGTGGTTGTCCTCCCTTTCACTTGTGCACACCACGGGTGAATGGATCAGGGCAGGGGATCTTCTGATTTATTTCTCTTTTGTGCCATAGAAAGGGGCATAATGGTGGTGGACATAGATGTATAGAAAGGGGCATGATGGTGGTGGGCATAGACATATAGAAAGGTGCATAATGGTACAGAAAGGGGCATAATTGCTTGTGGCCCAGCAGACAGCACGCTAGGCCCAGCTGTGAGAGATCTCCCTTCCACATCACACCCATGGGCTTGGGAAGGATACACGGGGCCTGAGTTTCCAACATATCTAGGTGGACAAAAATGCAGATGGGCCTGATTGAAATCTGCATAAGCCTTTCATGTCAACCAGATGTCCAGGTGCCTCTGACCACCCCACTGGACACCTCTCTGCCTCCTGGGATGCCCAGCTAAATGTAAAACCCTGCCCCTTTAGTCACTGAGACACAGGGACACTACCTATAATGTGGGGACAATAGCTCCCCCCTGCCTCACCTGGGATTAAAAATGCACAAAAGACTAGACCGCAAGATACTCAGGCACGCTTGTTATGGGATAGAGGCATTTTCTTTCCTTTATACTGGAGAGGCCTATTTCCTACGCTGCCTTGAGGATTTACCAGCCACTTCACAGTCCATCCTCTTGTACTCTGATGAAGAACGGGAGGATTTTTTGGGCAAGTTTATGTATTTGAAGAGGTAAAAAAATGTACAGGGACCCTTTTGCAACAGAAACGTGAATACAAGGACTGTCCTGCTTAAGACTGCCTTTAGATGGAGCTAACGACAGGGAGATTGAGCTCAGCTCTCCTTTCCTTCTAGGAGCTAGCGACGATGATGGATTGTTGTTTTGAAGATGGGGTTAATGAGTGTTTGGCAAAAACCACCTAGAAAGCAAGCGTCTGCTCGAAAGAGCTTGCAGGCTAAACAGGGCACTCGCCAGGCAAGGGTTGAACATGCGCTGGCAGGAGGAAGGAAAACCGCTGCTTCCAGGAATGATTGATGAGCAGATCCCAAAGGCCGGCTGGGTTTAGACATCACCAAGTTTCAGGCCTGTAGCTGATTGAGCCGCCAAACTGCTTCCCTGATGTTAGATGTCTGCAAACCACAGCCATGCCCGCGAGAAGCACGGCAAAACTGTACTCAACTACAACATGGCCAGTCACGGGTCTGTGGCTGTCCTGGGTATAGACGTGCATGGGTACTAATGTATAGGCTGAAGAATGACCCCAGCTGCAGGAGGATGGATGGTCGGACGCACATTTATTGATAGATACGTTGGATGCACACGGCAAATAAATTAGCATCAGCCACTAGTTTATACAAGGCAAACCGACTGTTTCTAAGTTGGGACGTGTCACGCCCAGGCTGACGTCTTTGCTGTACAGTATCTACAAGGAAGAGTCCTTCTGCTCTCTGGGATGCAGCCAGACAACATCCCCAGAGCTGATCTCTTCCAACAGTCAATGCTCTCTCCTGGGCCTCCCAAGGAGAAGCCCTGGTGCGTTTCCAGCTCTGCTCCAGAGGCCTTTTGGAGTGAAGCCCTGCAGCAAGTCCTGCTGCATGCAGCGAGCATGGGGAGGTCACTCGGGCTAACTGTCATGGGGCAACGTAGGCCAGTTTCCATCAGGAGAACAGTTTGTAGACCCGGCTGTAAATGGAGTTGAGCTTCTCCCTCAAAGCGAAGAAGGTGGGACGCTCCTCGGCGTTCCCTTTCCAGCACTCCAGCATGACGAGGTAGATCTCCGAAGGGCACATGCTGGGCCGGGGCAGGCGGTAGCCTCTGGTGATCTGCTGGATGGTTTCTTGGTTCGACATTCCTGCAAGGGAACAAAAACAAGCAATGCCCAGGGACCCTTCTGTGCAAGCGGGGGCTCCCAAATCGCCACCTGCACATCAGGTTTGCTCCCCAAATCAGGTAGAGATGGCCAGACAGGAGCTGAGGAGGGCACCTAGTCTGATGCCTTGCTCAAGGCAGGAGCTTCTCAGTCTAACCCATCTCAGATGAATGTTTATCTCACCTGAACTTGAAGGAAAGAAAAAGTTCATACCTCTCTACACCATTTGTCCCATGGCTTAGCCAGCCTGTGAGTTAGGAAATACTTCCTCAGACCTAATATCACTGCAACTGAATACCACAGCTTCTTGTCCCATCTCAGGTAGACATAGCAGAATTGGTCCACATGCTCTTTGAAGACTTTGCAAGTCAAATCCCTCTCAATTTTCTCTTCCCTAGACTAAATATAGTCCCAAACACGTGCTATATAAAGGATCTAGCAGCTCCTCCTTCACCGCCGGATCTTCTTTCCAATGCATCTCATGCAGATATGAAACCTGCCTTAAGCAACTTGCTTTTAACATCTCCAGGCTGAGTAGCATCTTCTCTAGGGGTAGGCTGAAAGCTTCCTTTCCTGGCAGCACTGATGGGTGCTAAGGGGCACATGATGAATCCCATCAGTGATGTCTGCTGGACGCGAGCAGCGTGGGAAGGAGAGAGGAGAACAGCTTGGCATGAAGGGGGGGACACAATCAAGGGACAGCCAGATGCTGGGGAGACAGGACGATGGAGCCATACCTTCATACGGTGTCTGGCCATAGGTGAAGACCTCATACAGCAAGATGCCGTAGGACCAAATGTCCGACTTCAGTGAGTAGGTGCGGTAGTTGGCTGCTTCTGGGGCTGTCCACTTCACTGGGATTTTGGTGCTGCCGCTGGTGGAATAAATATCATCCTGGAAAACAACCGGGACAGGGCTTGAGTTGAGGTGACACCAACTCAATATGCCCCCTCTATTCAAAAGCAAAGCAAGGTGAGGGGTAGAGGGCCAAGCCATCTGGATTCCTCCACCAACACTGATCTGAGGTGACCAGGTGGTGGTGAGCAGATACCCTGGTACCAGTCATAACTGGAAGACACAATTCAGTATCTTCCTCTAAATAGGGAGAGGTTTAAACTTGGGTGTTTGGGTTTCACATATTTTTAGGGAGACTGAGAAAGGAGGCAGGAGCCTTGACATGGTGGGGAGAGGTGGAGCTGCCAAGGCAATTCAAAGGCACTTTGAAAGACATGCAAGGGAGCAATTTGGGGTTGGGAAAGGGATGCAGAAATGAATGAGGGAAATGGGGCAGTGCCTCCCAATAGACCAACTTTGAGAAGCCTGGCGAGGCCAAAGTCTGCGATTTTGCAAGTGAGGTCATCTCCCACGAGGATGTTCCTAGCTGCCAAGTCCCTGTGGACGATGTGCTTTTCTTCAAGGTACGTCATCCCATCAGCAACCTGGCAAGCCATATCAAGCAAGTGGAGGGTGCTCAGGGATTTCCCTTCCAGACCTGTTGAGCCAAAGTTTGATGGACAAAGATCATTTTGTTTGAGACTGATCCCACCAAACCTTTGAGAACTGAAATTTTGCAAAGCACGTATGCCATCACTCCAGCTTTAAACACCTGCATAATCTCCAGGACTGGAATGGGAGGGCAGTTCAGAGTGGGAAGAGGATGTGTGTTGCAAAAAAGGAAGATGATTTGTGTCAAGTAATTCTTGATCAGTTGACACCTGCCTCCCAGCTGCATTTCTAAACCGATCCTTTTACGTAGGAGTTTCTGCTGTTGGGATAATAAAGCCCAGCTGGAGACAGAGCCCAAAATGAGGTCAAGTGACTCAGTGCAGGGGGGCGTGAGCAGTGGAAGAGCAAGTTCTGGTTAGAAGTTGTTGGACTCGTTTCCCTCAAGGGCTGTTTACTGCTTGGGAGACTGAAAAGAAAGACTGAGAGAAGTCAATACCACCCGCACGTTCCTCATTGAGCTGTTTCATTGCTGATGAGTCACGATGATGGGAGGAGACTTGCCCTTTTACCAGTTTCACACATGAATGAAAGTCTGAGACCTAATTAAGGGGCGGTTTGGGGATTGGATGCTGATCTTGTACACATCTATTGGAGTAAACCAAAAAAACACGTCTCTTGGACAATGTGTGCATGCATGTGTGTTAGAGACAACCTGCTCTCAAGGTCCAGCTAAACCCACCACCACAAGCTATGTAGCTAACCATGAAGCAGTGCCCAAAGTGCTTTGCCAGTCAGATTGCTCGAATATGTGAACACCTTTTAGAGATGTGCTCCAAGCAAAGCTAGGAGCTCAAACTACAGGTGTCTTCATGGTGCTTAATGATACGTAATAGTTGTACCCCTTTCATTATACCAGCACAGTCAAAATGGTACTGGTGAAAAAGATATCTTAGCCGGTTCTCATCCAAGAGGAGACAAACTAGACTGATACCAAGTACCTTTATACTGACCCATCAAGGCTTACAATGTTCCAGCCTAATATATCGATTAAGAAAACAAAACAAAACCAAACCTTGTGCATGAACAAGGGAGTTATCCAGATCCCAAAGACATGCATAGACATGACAAGGGTTAATTTGCCACACAATCAGGGACTTTTAAAGCACTTTATGGTTGTGCGCTTCTGCAAGGGCATGGCTGTAGAGCCCTTTCAAGA